GGAACCTCCGCCTCTGCACGGGAGCAAGGCACTTGCTGCAGCGGTAAACAGTCACGGGGACTTGGGCAGGAACAGGCAGCATCTGCACCGCCCAGAATAGCTCAATAGCTGTGCCTTGCTCCTGGGGAGGCAGCGGGTCCCAGGTCCTGCTGAGGTCCTGCAGGTACGTGAGCCTTCAGAGTCAGTCTCTTTGCTGCTCTGCAAGATGCTGGCTCCAGGCTCTCCCCAGGTTCTGAGCAATGCCCCTATTTTCCCCTCTCTTCTCTGCTTAAAGCCGTGCAAACACACCATGTTGCTGTGATATAAAAAAGACATTCAGATCTCAGGGCACTGTCACACTTGTACACTGACTTCTATTGTTATCGGATGAACTGAGAGGTCAGTGACGGGGGAGAAGGGAATAGAAAATTTAGCTAGACTCACAATACAAATCATGCTACCTCTTTGGCAACAGATACACAGCTGAGCAGCATCAGTCGGATTAAAAAACAATGAGATGAGGCCCTAGCCTCAACATTCAGGTGGCATCCAAACTTTTCCAAAGTTCAGGAGTGTTTATATCCTTGGCAGGAGGTTCAAAGTCGGCTCTATCAGATAGTTTCGCCAATGAGATCTGGAAACTTTTAATGGATCCTAAAAAGTAACTTCCAAGTGGACCTGAAAGGTGAGGCCAAATCACTCAGTGTTTCTTTAACAAATCATTTTTTCTTCTTCCCTCTTGCAGGTCAAACAATTTCACTTCACAGGACCCACACCCTGTGCAGACATGCATGCTGCAAGGCAGAGCGTCCTCATCGGCAGCACAATTTCCCTTACATCATATAATGTAAGAAGTGCAGATGACTACTAAAAGGCAGCATTCTTGGGATGATTAGATCAGCCCAGGAACCTCCAACATCTGAATATGGGAAGATTTACACAAGGTGAAGGGGAAAAATGGGAGACAAACCCTGCCTCTGAGGTTCTGGTGGAGGGGGAGGCTGGAAGGAAGGAGGCTGTTCCATGACCCTGCTAATCCCATTTGGCTATATTGTTTAACCTTCAGCTTTTGCTTTTACAAGCACTAGGAACTGGAATCCTGAAATGTGCTATCACTGAAATCACTGGATTACTGGGGCCACTTAAACTAATACTATATAAATCTGCAGTTCAAAATAAGTATTAATACCTACTGATTGCAGACCAGAGGATTTCCATGAGTATAAATTACCTAAAATTTAGTAGTTTAAAAAGCTTATTTTTAACTCTTATTTCTTCCCTTATCCTGCATAGGCTGTGATGTGTGTGCACTCCGAGTGAGTGTTCAGTTTACAAACAGGAAAGCATTAAGTACAAACGCTTCCCTTTTCCAGGGCACGGCCCTGCAAAGCTTGCTACACAAGGCTGCGGAGATGCCTGTGCTGTGACCTGCAGAGACCACCCCATAGGGTGAAAGGGCAACATGGTCTCCATGCCAGTATACTTTAATCTGCTGCCTTTCTGTTTAGCCAGCCAACAGGAATGTTTGCTGGTGCCAACTCGGGTGTTTGTGAAAAGCACATGTATCTACTAGAAACTGGACTGCTTCCACCAGCCCAGTTCACATGCCATCAGACAGAGGTGACTTTCAGTCACATTACTGACTGGACATGAATCAAAGTCCCAGAGGTGAATGGTTCTACTCCCATTACCAGTGTTCAGAACTATTTAGTCTTCTTTATCCCAATTAAGCTTGTTTTGCATTCAGAGAGGCCTCCCGCTAGTCTGCTGCCTTTATTTAATGACATTTATTATTTGCTATATTTCCTGTAACATGTGATGAAGCAGAGACAGAATCACAGATTTTAAGCGTATTTTTATATAACACATTTATCCTCTGCAACAGTTATGTCCTTTTAACCCAGTGAACAAAACAGCCAAAACCTAACAAGCAAGTTTTCAAATCATTCAATTCCATATGTTTTTGAGACTGCAAGTCATTGAAAATGGTCAGTTTCACAGAATCTCAGTTCCTCTGCTGCCCGGAATCCCTCTTTAGCTCAGAAGCTGTAACTGAGTGTGTGCAGTAGTACACTGCAATATGTCAATATTAAAAAAAATAAATTAGCTCAGATCTTGATAATCTTCAGGTCAGCAGTTATGTTCTGTCCATTTTAATTCACATTGCACGGGATATGTGACACACAGAAGATCAACTACTACATTTCAGACAACATATGGTACCTACTTAAAAGTAGCTAAATGGTTTCTGCAGATACAAGCATACCTGAAAGTGCAGTTTTACATAAGTGTATTACCTTAGAACTGAAAGCACCTAAATTTAAAAAGAAAAATAAAAACAAACTCTACTTGCCTTCATCTCCATCATCTCCAAAGGGGTAGAAAAGAGCAACTGCTAAATTGATGAACACAGCAAGGTTGAAGGAAATGCTCCCCCAGAGAGAGATGTGCCTGGAGAACCAAAACAGGGGTGGATTGTCTAGAAAGGGGAGAAGAGCAGAAATTAATGAAATGAAAGCAGGCAAGAACTCAATCAGTAACGGCTTCAAAGGAATTTAAAAAAATACTGATGAATGAAGAAAATTGAAGAAAATATGCAGATCTGCAAAATTAACTAAAATAGACAAATACTAAACATAGGTTTGCCATAAAACATAGTTTCAAGCAGAGCCTTTAACCCAAAGATCCCAATACAGTTTATTATATTGGGGAGTTTCGCCTCTGCTAAGATTTTAGGATTGGATCTTTTATAAAGGAGTCTTTTCACCTGCCTCTGAAACTGCAGCCTCTGTGCATGGGGACACAAAGTCAAGCAAGGAAATAGAATTTAGCACTCTGCATGCCAGTCAACAAGAAGACCCAGAACAAGTCATCCAAATGACCCATTTGGACCACGTACATTGATGACATTATTCAAAGAACAATGGAACAGGCAAGGTTGCAGAACAGTGGTATTTTCCCACCTCTGTCAAGCTAAATGAGGTTCAACAAGGCCAAGTGAAGGGTATTGCACCTGGGACAGGACAATCCTGATTATC